CCTCCTCAGCATGCCTCCCATGTGTAGAACTCTCCGTTCCTCCTCCTCAGCATGCCTCCCATGTGTAGAACTCTCCGTTCCTCCTCCACAGCGTGCCTCCCATGTATAGAACTCTCCGTTCCTCCTCCTCCTCAGCATGCCTCCCATGTGTAGAACTCTCCGTTCCTCCTCCTCAGCGTGCCTCCCATGTGTAGAACTCTCCGTTCCTCCTCCTCAGCGTGCCTCCCATGTATAGAACTCTTCGTTCCTCCTCCACAGACTGCTATTCTTCTCCGAGTGGGACCGGCCGGCGAACATCTCGAGCGCGAACCTTGACGGCAGCAACCGCGTCGTCATCCGCAACCGCGAGCTCGGCTGGCCGAACGGGCTCAGCATCGACTTTACCGCCGACCGGCTGTACTGGTGCGATGCACAGCTCGACCGCATCCAGCACTGCCGCTTCGACGGCTCCGACGTGCAGACGCTCAACATCAAGGTCGTGCACCCGTTCTCGCTCATCGTCTACCAAGGTACGCACCGCCGCCGCCGCCACCGCCACGCTTGTGTCGTGAAGATCGGTCGTTGGTTTGCGCGCCATCGTCACCCGCTCGCGAAGTTAACATTGCTCAGAACTTTGGTATTGGTCGTCTGTTTGCGCGCCACCATCACATGCTCGCGCTGCAAAGATTGCTCGGAACTTTGGTATTGGTCGTCTGTTTGCGCGCCACCATCACACGCTCGCGTCGTGAACATCGCTCAGAACTTTGGTATTGGTCGTCTGTTTGCGCGCCATCATCACACGCTCGCGTCGTGAACATCGCTCAGAACTTTGGTATCGGTCATCTGTTTGCGCGTGACCGATCGACGATCGATTTTAATCGATTTATTGTGGTGATCGCGAGGACTATGTGTGTTGGTTAACACTAATGCAGATGGAATGGCTGTCATTGTCTGATGATGTGCAGACAGTGTGTTCAACCTTTAGTGGTGGCGAAACGAGCCCGGTAATGTCTATAATTATCATTTTTTGATGATAGATGAACAGTATGTCTGGTAGGTAAAAGGTTGCGCAGTGCACCACGCTTTTCAAAATTCAAAATTGGCTCATTGCATGTGGCATCTTGGTTTTCTGCAGTCGGATTGTGTATGAATAATGAAGTATTTTGATGTTTCAACAGATTTCCTGTTCTTCACTGACTGGCGACTGCAGGGTCTGCTGCGTGTTGACAAAACATCTGGCTTCGGCCTACTCAAGATTCACAATGAAACAAAAGAGCGGCTCTTTGGCGTGAAAGTGTTCAGCGATATTCAGCAGCCAATCATGGGTAAGATTGTGATTTTGTACAGTAATCCATTGTTGTTTCTGTATTTTGAGCACATCTGACATATGGATGACACACGGCAGTAATACCTTTCTTTTGTTTTTGGTGCAGATAATCATCCATGTGTAGGTGATGTTAGTGGGTGCAGTCATTTCTGCTTTCCTGTGCCGGACGGTTCCAACAGTATCAAGGCTGTCTGTGGTTGTCCCATGGGCATGAAGTTTTCTGGTAAGCTCCAGCTCTCCAATTATTAATAAATGACTAGGGAAATATGCTGACGAAGCCTTCATTATTATTATAATTTCGTAATCATCACAAACTGTTTTTACGTCTTGTTATAAGAACCAAAAAGAAAATGTCTGCTTGAAATTGAGCAACATGTATCTGGATGTATCAGTTATAAATAGAGTGTAATTTTCGAATAGGCACCACTGGTGTACAGTGCCGTAGTAATGTTTATAAAATATGTTTATTGTCTTATGAAAGGAAAATTACAATATATGATTGGATACAGTTCGTTGCCTGCAGACTCATTATGTGGAAACTGAAAAACTAACATAGCCGGGAAGCCATTTTGAAGTACTGGAAGATTGATTGCTCTAGTATTCCATTGTATACATTTATGTCACAGATGATAAGAATAAGACCTGCGTCGATGACTCGGCATATGTCAAGGAGAAGTTGTGCTCCCTGTGGCAGTTTGAGTGTGGTAATGGGCGCTGTATCAGCTTCTTCTATAAGTGCGATGGTGATGATGACTGCTATGACAACTCTGACGAGGCAAACTGCACAGGTAAGAGTTGTGGCGATGACTGCAGTGACAGTATACGCATAGGACAATATGTAACACACGGGTTCCATGAAAATTAAATGAGTAGAAAGATTCATTGCAGGGTGCAATAAGTCAGTAGGTGAGCAATAACATAAGTCAAGCAAGGTCAGTAAATGGTATAAAATAATCGTGTGTGTCGTAATTAAGTGAGAATTGTGGCATTAGTTCAGTGGCAGGATTGTTAAGTAAGATAACAAAAACAGACATGTTCTATTATAATAGCAGTAATTGTTGACAGTGTTTATAAGTGTTTCCCTTGAGGACTGTGTAAGGCTGACATCGTTAGGAACTCATTCTACCTGAGTCTCCATACTCATTCTATCTGAGTCACCATGCTGCATGAGTCACCATGCTGCCTGAGTCTCCATGCTGCCTGAGTCACCATGCTGCCTGAGTCACCATGCTGCATGAGTCACCATGCTGCTTGAGTCTCCATGCTGCATGAGGTCCTCGCAGATGTTGCCTGAGTCACTATGTGCATGAGTTACCATGCTTGCATGAGTCTTCATGCTGCCTGAGTCACGCATGCTGCCTGAGTCACCATGCTGCATGAGTCACCATGCTGCTTGAGTCTCCATGCTGCATGAGTCTCCATGCTGCCTGAGTCACCATGCTGCATGAGTCACCATGCTGCATGAGTCTCCATGCTGCCTGAGTCACCATGCTGCCTGAGTCACCATGCTCATGATCTCCATGCTGCCTGAGTCACCATGCTGCATGAGTCTCCATGCTGCATGAGTCTCCATGCTGCCTGAGTCACCATGCTGCCTGAGTCACCATGCTGCATGAGTCTCCATGCTGCATGAGTCTCCATGCTGCCTGAGTCAATGCCTGCTGAGTCACCATGCTGCATGAGTCTCCATGCTGCCTGAGTCTCCATGCTCATTCTATCTGAGTCTCCATGCTGCATGAGTCTCCATGCTGCCTCAGTCTCCATGCTCATTCTATCTGAGTCTCCATGCTCATTCTATCTGAGTCTCCATGCTCATTCTACCTGAGTCTCCATGCTCATTCTACCTGAGTCTCCATGCTCATTCTACCTGAGTCTCCATGCTCATTCTGCCTCGGTCTCCATGCTCATTCTACATGAGTCTCCATGCTCATTCTACCTGAGCTTGCATGCTTATTCTACCTGAGTCTACATGCTCATTCTACCATTCTACCCGAGTCTACATGCTCATTCTATCTGAGCTTGCATGCTCATTCTACCTGAGTCTCCATGCTCATTCTACCTGAGTCTCCATGCTCATTCTACCTGAGTCTCCATGCTCATTCTATCTGAGCTTGCATGCTTATTCTACCTGAGTCTCCATGCTCATTCTACCTGAGTCTCCATGCTCATTCTACCTGAGTCTCCATGCTCATTCTGTCTGAGTCTCCATGCTCATTCTGTCTGAGTCTCCATGCTTATTCTACCTGAGTCTCCATCGTGCCTAGCATATCTGTGTGTCCATCTTGCAGAGATCACGTGTGCGGCGACGGACTTCAAGTGTGAGAACCAGCGCAAGTGCGTGTCCAGCTCCTCTCTCTGTGACAACCACAACGACTGCAGTGATGGCTCTGATGAGATGAATTGTCGTAAGTTCTGCGCTCTGGTCGAGCCATCCCCAGCAGTGGTGTGAGCAAAGATGGCCGCTTGTAAACTGGGATTTTTAAAGGGGAGCTGTTTTCGGAAAGCGAGCTGCAGATACAACTTTGCAAAGTTTGTAATTATATCTCCCATCTGGAAATCACTGGTTACACAGGGGACTGCCTGCTGGGTTCTGGCAGCTTTTGCCCAGTTGTTATGATTGCAGTTAGTATCATCAAAAATCTTAAATGAATAATGACCAAGAGATAAAATATTGAGAAACACACTTCATGCTATCTTTTGTCACTTTGAATTTTTAATACGATACAGATCACAAGATTGCGACATTACAGCATTGTTAGGCAAACTGATCATAAAAGTGGTTTAATTATGGATAAAATTCCCAGAAATGTCCTTTGCTGACAAAAGTGATTGTGCTTCTTTCATGGTCATAGACGTTCAGCGAGATTTGTTTAGTTAGCAACTACTTGCAAATTATCTGTGGCAGCGTAGATGTTTAATGTTTATGCATGATCTTCCTCACAGCGAATAAAACATGTCAGGGTGACCAGTACCTGTGCACGAATGGCAACTGCGTCCCACGTACGTGGATCTGTGATACAGAGAACGACTGCAAGGACGGGAGTGACGAGGGTAGTTTCTGCAGTAAGTATACACATGACCATCATCTCCATTATATGACTACACGCCGAATGCCTTCGTTTATTTTGTTTTTATAGTATTCATTTAAATGTGCGCTCGTTTATTAAAACGTGTTCCTTATCAGTGTGCTAAGGAACGTCCTCGGACGTTTTCTTTGCAGGAAACCACACATGTGCATCCACGTACTTTGTGTGTGATAACGGCCGGTGCATCAATAATGTGTGGGTATGCGATGGCGACAATGACTGCTACGACAACAGGTGATTGTTGCACAGTCGTTCTGACACAAACCTCTCGTGTGAGAGACTGCATACCAACTGCAATCATTTTCTGGTGAAATTCTGTGCTCCTATAGCATTCAGTCAAGTTGATAATTGTTTTGATAATCCCTGTATCACCCAATGAAGACTTACCGTGAACTGCAATATCGTTTAATTAGCAAAAATGATTCAATATTAAGAAATTAAGAAATTCGATGAAATTCGAAAAAAATTGAAAGCTCAAGAGCCTTTAAATAACCGCACGCACCTTTAATTAACAGCGATGAGAAGGACTGCCCACCGGTCAGTTGTCGGTCATTTGAGTTTACCTGTAGCGACCTTAAGCAGTGTGTTGCTCAGAGCGTGCGCTGCGACGGCCACAACGACTGCAACGACGCCTCGGACGAGATCGGTTGCCGTAAGTCCTCCCCTCCACATCGTCGCGACGAAGCCAGTCGATATTCGCGTTTCGAAATGGATTGATTCCCGACGACTGCAGCGGTCGAAGTTAATACGAGCGAAAGCTACATGCGTTTTGTGTTGGCTTGCTTCGCATAGCCGCTTGTTCTGTAGATTTGTCATGCAAACTAGTGCATGCACTTCCCTGGCTGTACTTGCTTTGCGCGAGCGTGAGCGTGTGTGTGAGTTGTGTTCTTTGTCTTTTGCACGCAGCGACGCCAGAGAAAGGTATGTGTCTAGCGACACAATTTCAGTGTGGGTCAGGAGTCTGCGTGCCATCGAGCTGGAAGTGTGATGGCACACCGGACTGTGCTGATGATGCAGATGAGAAGGACTGTGGTATGTCTTCAGGCTACAGTGCCAATTTATCGCTTTATCAAATCCTGATAGAACTATGTGTATGAAGTTTAAATTAGGTATAGGTGGGGGCGGAGTGACGTCACTTCCCCTTAGCAATACGTCTGGTGAGCCGCGCCGATGAAAACAAAGCGCGAATCGGCTGGGAGCGTCTATATTCAAGCCGGTACGGGAGATGACGGTACGCATATATAATTATTTGCTAATATATTGACTAATCGTGCGTCAATAAACTTAATATTCACAGAGAGTGTAGCTAAGACATGTGTCTATAGGTATCTAGAATATATTATGCAAAAGATCTCCCGTACCGGCTTGAATTCATATCTCTGTGAATATTGAGTTTATTGACTCACGAAGCGGCACGATTAGTCATGCTAGTCATGCACGATTAGTTATGCGCGCGAAAGTGAATTTCAGATGAGTAAATTTTTAAAATTCTAGATACCTATAGACACATGTCTTAGCTATGCTCTCTGTGAATATTGAGTTTATTGACGCACGATTAGTCAATATATTAGCAAATATATGCGTACCGTAATCTCCCGTACCGGCTTGAATATAGACACCGCCTGAATGGAGCCGCTGCGGTTCAAGGATAGAGATGATGTCCAGATTGAGACCTATGTCATTTCCGTAAATGTTGGGGTAGCCCCTTTAAACTCGACAGGCGTGTTCTTGAAGGTCTTCTTTGTTTATTTCGACCGAGAAACATTATGTGACTTCACAGGAAGTGTGAAAAAAACTGCCTTTCAGCGAGACTACTCGCCCGTTTCCCACTGTTTCTCACCATTGCTACGCCGTCTTCGTTCTCCTGACTAATTGCTGTTAGCCATCTGTCTCTCCTCTCGGGCTACGGCAGCTCAAAGAATGATCTTTTTTTTGTCACTTGAAAGACAGTGATTGCGGCATCCAAACACCACATAATTCCTTGGCACTATGCGCTGCGGGCATTGAGCGGTGCGTTACTACGGTTTGTTTTCATCGGCTCGAATCTACATTCGGTCAAATAGTCAAAAGTTCCCGGATGTCCGCCCCACCTATAGTTTTTAGAGAGAGCACTAGGGCATTCAATAGTCACCATCTCATAAATAAGGCTCTTGCATAAAGCCGGGGAACACCCAAATTAAACTTCGAAGTCATTCAGAATCAGAAGGATCAAACATACTCGGGAGTGCATGTATACTGCACTTAGGCACTCAAGTGAGTATAGAACAATGTTCAAGGTTATTTGGTAATTCTGAACAGCATTCAAGCATATATTGCCAAACCTGTGTTAGCAGACACCTGTGTGAAATATACACATAGATCAATAAAGGATGCTTATGGTATATGGCATCCTTTGAGTGGCAGCTATACATTGAAACAAACTATAGACATCTGCCTATATAGAACGTTTTTTTTGGGGGTTTCCCTTTAATGACGTTGTTATTCAGGTTTGACTGTATAAATATAAGCATATATTATTCACGCATCAAATCAAGTGAACTACGTTGGTATGTGTACTACATAATACTGTCAGCGTGAATTCTATAAGGTCATTTATACTTTAACATTTCACAAGAAACCATACATTAGGTGACATAAATCACTCGTATTGCCGAGCCATATACAAAAGACTTGTGATACATCACGTGTAGAAATTGTTGCACATTGTCAGTGTTTTACATGTTTTATAATTATATTGAAATGTTTTATCTATGCAGGTGTTGTGAGTTGCCCCGTAAACCATTTCAAGTGTGACAATGGTCACTGCGTGTACAAGGCATGGGTGTGTGATGGCTCGGATGACTGTGGCGATGGCAGCGATGAATCGGCACAACATGGCTGCTGTGAGTCACGCACTTGTCAACACGTATTTCTTGTCTGCATTATTAGCCTGTTTGTTTAACCTTTATCATTACTCATTTAGGGAAGACCATCTGTTTATTTACGACCTATCACATTTTTTTATTTGTCTAGATGTGTAATGTAACTAATGTTATTGCAAGTTTGAAGCTGTAGCGCAATAGGATAATGTGCAAATTCGGTGTGTTACAACTGCGATGAATTGCACGCTTTGATTTTTTATGTTTAGTGCCAAATTTTTGAATTGCATACTAGAACTATCAGACAAGAGTGCATCGTTTACGTGGTAGCCTAAAAACATCTCCTCTGTGTTAGTCAATGTAAAAAAATATTGCATTTTGTTTTCATGCAGCAGTCGTACACAGAGGTGAGATCATTATAACCAACTATTCGTATCTATGCACTAATTAATATATGTCTTGTAAGTATTGTTAAAACTATGATTTTAAAATTTATGCATTCAGCTGTATTGTAACGTTTAAATGTATTCCGCCATCGATCGACCGTGAGCACCACTGTCGGTGTACAGTCAATGTCACCTTTATCTTACATGTGTTTACTTTTTTTTTCAGCTACGGATGAGTACACGTGTTCATATGATAAGTGGAAGTGTCCAGGCCTGAAGACCTGCATCAACCAGACGCAGGTGTGTGATGGAAACATTGACTGCCCCAACAGACTGGATGAAGGACCTGGCTGTGGTAAGATACGTGAATATAACACTGCTAGGCACTGCAATCATAAAGATGTGATGCTAGAGTCAATAAGAAATGTGTGATTGCCTTATTCTCATGTACTTTGTTGTCTTGTTGGTTATATCCTATTTTCTAAGACATTAAATCTGGTTGATAATCAATATAATGGAGAATAAATGTTTCCTATTTGAGCCAAATGTTACTGATTCAAAGCTGGTATTATTGTTGTTTCAATTCCAACTTTCCAACTTGCGGTCAAGATCACTTAATAATATGTTTAGATACTAATGGCATTATACAGGTATAGGCCGGTCCTAGTTAGGGTACTGTTCGGCACCGAGTAATCAATTACAGTGATTTTAATTATGCATAATTAATTATCACTTTAGTTAATCTCAGCTTTGTTACGTGATATAGCGGTTTTGGGCACTATTGGTGCTTATAAATGTAACAAAAGTAATAGTTACATTTTATTAAATTTATGGCCTAGCCTAATAATAGCAGCATACAGTAATTGTGTGCAGTATAAACTGTTTAACTTTGGTTTTACATAGATTTCAATGCATTTACAGAATTGTCTGATTGCAAAGCACAGCCTGTTGAGGCTGTCTGTAGCTACAAGTGCATCGACACACCGACTGGACCACAGTGCTACTGTCCAATGGGACAAAAGCTGAATCAAACCACTTGTATTGGTGCGTATATTTCTCACTACATGTGTGAATATGATCAGCTACCTAACTCTGGATATAATTTTCTGGATAACCTTTTTTACTACTTTATTGGCTAATAATTTGTTGTTTATTAATGTTATTTTTTGCATTCCTGGTAAATAGCGGGGATTATGAAGATGACGCATAGCTATGCAAGACTATAGGCATGCATGATGATGGAAGACACATGGTCTTTTGGTATATGGACTATGCTATTTTCAATATTGAAATCTTGTACTGCAGACATGGATGAGTGTGATCCACCGGGCAGATGCAGTCAGATGTGTGAGAACCAGAAGGGCTCATACAAGTGTTCCTGCACTGATGGATACGCCCTTTCTCCCGATGGACGTTTCTGCAAGGCAGTCAGTAAGTTGCTGCTAATTCTCTACCACTGTCATTTAACCACTCCAATGAGCCAAGGTGACTGGTGTTGTGTTTGTGTTACTACTATCCCAAAAAGCACTGTATCGGCTGATTGGAAATTTTCAACCTAGGAACCACATGAAGAATGTGGACATTAGTCACTGTCCATTTATTTGTGTATGAAGCATAGCACAAATTGAAACTGATTTCCGTGTGGTATTATGTTTTGACACGTATGAGGTAATGGATTCGTTAACGTTATTGGAGGCATAATAAATGAATGTATTGACGTGTAGCTATGCTGTCATGTCATTATTGTGTCATTGCATCATCACAGATATCTCCGACGCATACCTGGTCTTGTCGAATCGTAAAAACCTCATCAGGAGCAACATGCGTCTTGATATGACCGATCAGCTTCCGATCCCAGTCAAGTACGCCGTGGCCATCGGCTTTGATGTGTTAGAGGATAAAATCTACTGGTCAGACATGCAGGAGAAAGTGATCAAGAAGGCATTCACTAATGGCAGTAATGTTGAGACGGTATGTTCTATAAAGTTACGATCGTATCTCGGACAGTCGCCATGTTATAGTGATTTCACACATGCTACCTGAATAGCGTACCTGAATACACACAACCGTGTCGCTTGTGCACGGCCGATCCTTTGTTACTTTCATATATGAGTAGATTATTATTATTATGCATGATATAAATGTGGGACAGATATTTGTTGTCTGCATATACATTTATCATGTGTAGATTGTCCTATTATTGTAATGTTTATACGTTTTTACATCTAGAGCTGTGAATCCTACCATACAAGAAGAATTTTCAACAACTTTTATCTCTTCACAGGTCATTGATAGTGGTGTTGATGTGACGGAGGCACTGGCCGTTGACTGGATTGCTCGTAACCTCTACTGGGTCGACTATTCCCTGGAAACCGTGGAGGTAGCCTCGCTGGATGGCAAGTACAGACGAGTTTTGTTCCATGAGAATATCACCAACCCACGAGGATTTGCCATAGACCCAACTGACGGGTAGGTCATGGTTACGTTACTTAACAGTCTTAACATGTTAACTGTACAGAGTATTTCTCAGAGCAGTCATGCTTGTGCATTGGGAGTCGGGACTGTGCGATAGTTTAATATACAACATTCTAGTCAGTAGTGTTCTATAGCTGTAGTAGTTTCTAGCATTTAGGTGTAGTGTTCATACATTCAGTTACAATTTAAAGCAAGAATCATCTAGTGTGAAATCTGCAGTCATTCTAATCTAATCCGGCATTAGCATATATATTTCGTCTCATTTAGCATATAGCAGTATACGTCACTATCACATGTTACACAGGATGACTTGATGTGGAGGAGGTACTCGTGCATGTCTCTGCGCTAGCTACGTGTGTAGTTGCATGGCTAACATATGTTGTGTTTTGATACACACAGCGCACGCTACATGTTTTGGACGGATTGGGGAGATCATCCAAGGTTAGAGAGAGCCGGGCTAGATGGGTCAAATCGCACGACAATCATCAACACTAAAGTCTCCTGGCCCAACGGTCTGACCATTGACTATCCAACCAAGCGGGTGTACTTTGCCGACAGTAGGCTCGATTACATTGACTATGCAAACTATGATGGATCTGGAAGGCATCAGGTTGTTGCGAATGACCACGTGAGTACAAAACCTTATATGCAAGTGTTTCTGTAGTTGCTGAGGAATTCTGTTCAAAAAAGTGTGATTCATTGATATCAGATTTTAAATCATTCTTGTTGAAGATATCCGCTTGTTGAAGATATCCTCTTGTTATTCCTGACAAAACGATTTCAACCCATGTGAGAAATAAGTTATCTAGGTAGACTCACGTTTTAAATCGAAGAGCTCATAAATGTGCCATGCATAGCAAACATTGTTGGAACCAGTTGACCGACATGTAAAATGCTACGTACGATTTGCTTCCCCTAGTTTCTACAGCACGTTCACGCACTGGCTCTGTTCGAAGACACTGTCTACTGGACGGACAGAGAGAGCAATGCAGTGATGAGCTGTGACAAATTTGCCTGCACCAATCAGAGCATAGTCCTAAGAGGACTCAACAAACCACTGTATCTGATCGTGCATCACCCAGTTAGACAGCCTAAAGGTTTGTAGGACTGCACCAATGATGGCTATGCATCGTTAACATAATTATTATATTGCAATTGCTGATTGGTAAATGAAATTGATATTTTTTTATCTATAGAACTATATACTGCTCTTTAATATAGAAAGTAAAAAGGGAAGTATATTTATTTGGATTCCGTTGCCTTGCCAAGCATTTAAACTATGATCTTTGTGTATGTTTATATATATATATTATATATTGCATCCTAGAATTGAGACCATTAACATAGAACACTGTCTGAATATTGATACTTTCAGCGTCAAACCCATGTGCTGGCAAGCCATGTAGTCATCTGTGTTTGCTGTCACCAAAACCACTAGGCTACAGCTGCCAGTGTCCCATGGGCATGTTACTTGACTCGACATTGAAGAAGTGCAAGAAGGGTAAGCAGAGTGAGATATTAGACTTTGGTTTTAGCTGTTTAGTTATTAAAACCACCTTCAACCAGTAACACTTCTTCGGAAAATTGCACTCTTATTTGAGGATGTATAATTATTTAAATGATGCTGAAGACATATGATTCACAGTGTGTGTATGTATGTATTCTAAAAATAACAATAACCAGATACACCACAGCTTCCAGCATATACCATATAAATCGTATAATATTCATATAAGCTATAATTAATTGCCACTATGTTCATAACATATGCTTAATAATTCATTGTGTTCATTACCTTTAATTCTTCAGGTTTTATTAAGTGTGCTCAATGTATAATGGCACGTCTATTTCATTCCCTTTACGTCAACTTCTAAGTGTGTTGGTAGTCATCTGTCTCTGTGTGTCACAGATGATAAGGAATATCTGATGTACATGCGCAAGAAGCCAGGTCAGATTGTCGGAAGGAGCATCGACCCAAAGACAGAGCTGTTCAATGGCTTTGTGCCCGTCACCGGCATTAAGAACACGGGTGACTTTGACTACGACAAGCGTGAGCAGTGGATTTACTGGGTTGAGAGTGAAAAACCGGCAACCAGTCCTACTGCTTCTCCAAGCAGTAGCAATGAGAAGGTAAGTGCTAGCCATGGAGAGGAGCTGACACTGCACTAACCCATATAACATTGAAATACTGGGCTGGACTGCCGATTTTGTCAACCCTACATAGCAAGGGACATACTTATACGTGGATTATACTTAACGCACAAGGGTAGTGTACTTTCACACATACCCAGCATGTAATACAACTCTGGCGTGCAATGTAAGCACCCTACAATAACTTATACTATATAACGTTACTCGTGTCATTCTTCTTATTGCATGCCAGTTTACAGTATTAGTACCAGTGCTGGTCCCAGCTTTACTTGTCGCATGATTCTGTCCTACCTTTGATGAGGACATTTAGGTTACCATCCTCGTCACCTTCTTAGCTCTAGGCTATTCAAATACCCGGAATCGTCGACAAAAAACCAAAGACAAGAACCGTAATGCAGCTCAGACGTGCAGTGCGAGCGCATGCTGCGATAATGTCGCGCTGACGTTCGTCACTCTGTTAACGCTGTTCCTCTCGTCGCAGGTGAAGATCATGCGCGTTCACTTTGACGGCACGAACCGCACGGCGTTCGACAACACGTCGATAATCGGCAGTGCGGACAGCCTCGCGTTTGACTGGGTCGGACGCAACCTGTACGTCGGCAATCGCGCGGCAGGACTCATCGAGGTGATCAAGGTCGACGGCGACGTGCGCCGCCGCAAGGTCATCCTGCAGCACAACTCGTCGCGCACGGGCGTCTCCGACCCTGCCGCCATTGCTGTCGACCCCATACACGGGTACGTCGCGCGACCGGAGAGAGGTTGCTGTCAAGCCTGCCTCCTCGCAGTGTGGGGAGGGAGAGTCGGGGAAGGAATTTGTGGGGGTGGGGGTTATTATCCCGGTTAAAAGCCCGAATGTGATAAGGAATGTATGGTGTCTTTAGTGCGTCAGTCGTGACTCATAGATGGATATTTTAGTTGAAATGTGGATTTAGCTTGTACAGAACTGAAGCATATTCAACATATTCAACATATTCAACATATTCAACATATTCAACATATTCAGCATATTCAGCATATTCAACAAAGATTTGGGTCACATGAGATTTACTTCTCCTGTTTACAGCAAGCTGTACTGGTTGGATGAGGGTGGACAGGGTGTGCCTAGGAAGGTGGCGTCTGCAAACCTGGATGGCTCTAACCCAACAATTCTTGTCTCTTCTAATCTGCACAACCTTGATTACATCGCAGTGGACATAGCAGACAATAATGTTTACTATACAATGGCCGATGCAAGCTGGGTAAGTGACTATACACTCTTGCAAGCAGCATTCCGAGACTCTATTTTATCTATAGGAATATTGTTGGTTTGAATACCAATCCAAGTATAATGGCAACAGTAATGGGAATTTTTTCCAAATCCTTCTAGAAAATCACAGAGGCTCTGGCAGATCTCAGAATTATCCTCACCATTGAAACTAACCGACCAATAATTATTCAGTTAAGAATAATAAATCCAAAAAGTTATGTGCATAATAAAATAACAATTTTAATAAACAATAATAACATTAGTAAAGAATAATTAAGAAATCCCACACTAACCTGCTACAGATGCGGCCCATAACAGGATGTAACGGATGTTTAATGCGTAGCGATTTCAGCTGTCGTCAGCTCAATCACATTCACGATGTATACTACATTTTCGCGCGCACAGATCGAGAAGGTGTCAACGTCGTCTGGTGCACGCAAGCATCTGGAGCACTACGTCGCGTCACCGCAGGGCATCGCCGTGCAGGGCTCCTACCTCTATTATGGCGACACTGCTTACGAGAAGCTGGGTCGCCGCGGCAAGGATAACGGCATCGACGACAACAAGGAGACGGTGCTGCTCAGGAACACGCCCAACATCATGCAAGTGCGCATCGCCATCGACCGTCCGAGTAAGTGCTGAGCGCATGCCAGTAGGTGGCCTCTCTATGGCAGGCTGGAAAGACGAGCGGTTTGCTTGTTTTGTCGGATGCGCACGAGGACAGCCATCTGTTAAAAATAACGTGCTTAAGATATAGATGTCAGATCTTTTGGATTATTTTTTACAGTTTATAATTTTTGCAAGTCATGGCACAGCTAGTTATTGAGATTTAATGTAGATGATACATATCTAGTAATTGCTAGGCTTTGCTAGTTGCTAGAAAGCCTAACTCAATATAATTTTCCATAATTATATACTTTTAATTGACTGCTTATAATCAAGTCTAAATAATGACTTACAAAAATAAACTATAAAATCATATGAAATAAAATAAACAAAAAACCTAATACTATAAAAGCAATGAATCGTAAAAAGCAATGTCAATAGAAGCTTGCAAACATGTTTATGTTCAATTGTACATTGATTGTTATTATCACTTGCTGTGTGTGTTAACTGCAGTCAGTAAATTAACATCGGTTAACTGCATGCACCACAAGAATATATATTTGTGTGCCTGTAGAGCCAACTGATCATCCGTGTCTGATAAACAATGGAGGGTGTGAGCATATCTGCATTCCAATGGGTGACACGAGCAGGAAGTGCGTCTGCTCAACGGGCTTCAAGCTGACCAATGAAACGCACTGTCAGAACCACACCTCGTTCCTCGTCATCTCCACCCTCTCTGCCATCAGCGGCTATACACTCAACTCCAGCGAGCACGAGATGGCCTTCCCACCAGTAGGTGGCACTGAGGGTAAGCGACAAAGCAGATGTGCCATTTGTTTTTATCACTTGTATGGTTTGTCACCTCGAAAATGTTTTTGTTTTGTTTCATTATATCAACAACATTAGATGGAGCCCTTTAACACACAGAGCAGTTAGCGCCGGTAAAGTTGTAATGGGCATCGAATAGGAATCGATACACACAACGTTGTTTGTAGATGATATGTTTAAAAGTGTCACTAGTATCATGTTGTCTGTAATGCTCTTCTAGGTTTCCAAGCCCTGCACGTGGCTGTACATGTTGCCGAAAAGTGGATCTATTGGTGCAATTTCGACGATAAAGGCGATAAGAATGGGATTCATCGGATGCACCCTGATGGCTCTAATCTTGAGGACATTGTCACTTCCGGCATAGGCAAGAATGGCATACGTGGCCTCGCCGTGGACTGGATTGCTGGTACGCTACTTCTGTATTCAGGATAGCAACACTAGGGAATGTACTATACTCCCTAACTTGACCCTCTCTCTCTCTCTCTCTCTCTCTGTCTCTGTCTCTCTCTCTCACCATCCTCTCCTCTCCTCTCTCCATCTCATTCTTTATTTTCTTCCCTTCTCTATCTGTGCCTCCATCACCTCTCTCTCTCTCTCTCTCTCTCTCTCTCTCTCTCGCTCTCTCTCTCTCTCTCTCTCTCTCT